CAGACACTTTAAACATTCCGTGCCCTTGTATCATTGTTTTGAATAAAGGCTATCAAATGTAAATAAAGTCACGTTAAGAAGTGATTTCTAAATTCCAGTCATCTCAAATGTTTTGAGAGAACTTCATAAATTCCTGTCTTCTCTGGCATTTTCCTCGTAAGAAATAATGAACTCTGTAGTAACTTTGTCCAAGTATTCACTGGGTACTTGTATGCTCATGTAGTTTAGCGTGACTCGAACTCGGTAATCGTTGTGTGATCAAAGGTTACGACACCTATATACAATGGTAGCTATCTTCAATTTTTCTCATATACCATTTATAAAAAAGCTTGGATTTTCATTGAAAACGTAAGATAACAATATATGTTTCAAAATATATTTTACGGAATTCTCTTATAAAAGACGTAAGAAACCTATTTGCATTCTTTATTTTCAACCCTACATGCTCCCTTCAAAACGTGTCTGATCGTGAAAATATCCATAAAAGCATCAAGTTTTAACAGTTAATTGAAGTAGAAGTAGGTACACATACTATGTCACAACCTTATATACTGCAATATGTAAGCAAATACTTACACCGATTGCAGTATATACTATTTGTGTATTGGGTTTATATAATATAATCTAAAATACATACATTTAGAAAGATTAAAGGCATATTACATGAACCTTATCTGCCCTTATTCTATGATGCATAAAACCGTTATCTTTGGCATCCTTCACTTTTACAATAACATTTGATATGATTCAGAAATGAACACCATGTTTACTCTATTACAGTATAATATAAACCATATTTAGATAATATGTACAGCTGTATTCTACTACATGAAATAAAAATTAAATGACCTTTTTTGTCTGTTTTTGTTCAAATTATGGGAATACGAACGTTCATTAACTCCGTCATTTGCTGTTCTTCCTTCATGGCAGATTGCTTGGACACGGAGAGTCCGAGAAATCATTTATCCGTCCGGAAGTTATTTTCAGGAATATAAGTGGAAGCTCCTCATACAATTGTAGGGGACTGTTGCTTACACCTCAAGACGCTTCGTTCTGTCACAAGTTCTTCGACATTATCTGGAGATCGATCTTGTTGTTTTCCTTACAGTGAGTTAGGTCATGTAGGAACTTGTTTGTGGTGGTAGATTTGCTAATTGACATGAGAAAATAAAAAAAATAAAAAAATATGTTTACTGATCTACATAACTAGATTATAATTTACAATACTTCAAATATTTGGATATTATTTTATTTTTACACTATCTGTTGTTTTGGGGGCAGAAATCATCTGTCATACATTAATAATGATGAGGCTGTTTGTACTAGAATTGTGGACTCTTAGCCCCCCCCC